TTGTAAAATATTCACTTGTAATTAATATTTTAAGTTAAATTTTTTTTTACTTATAAGTAAATTTTACAATTGTAAGTTAATTTTGTACATGTAAGTAAATTTTTTATGTTTTATAAGTGATTTTTAGTCCTACTAGTGTATTTTTATCTTACTAATAGTAAGTACATGCATTGCAAGCCTTATGTATCTGACGAACAATATACATAATGTGCTTCAAGCACTAATAATATTTTTGAAAGTAGTTTATGTGATTCATATTGTTAAAGAATAAATTCAAACTGTTAAAAAGAATATATATGAATAACACTTTTTATAAAATTATGTATATAATGTGAAAGGTTGAATAAATCGAAATGTAATGTTTTCATTAGAATAACATTTCTTTATACACAATATTTTTTGTCAATATCTTACCACTTTTCTTCTTTTTATTTTCTATTTTTAGCTTTTTACTAAGATTTTTTGTTGTTTGCATTGAAACTCCATAAAAAAGTGCAAGATATATTAGTTGTGCCTGAGACAATGCATATTAAAAAAATGTATATTCCAATAGTAGGTATTGTTTATCTTGAGCCTTGTTAATGGTAATTGCAAGCATAGATGCATTGAAAATTGTTCTCTTGAATTTGAATGAATATCCTTCATCGTTTACTTGAGCTAGTGGGATGCGAGAAGGGAAAGCTTATGTTCCAGCATGTTTGTCCAAAGGTTATTTTGAAATAGATAATATAAATTTTGAAATCACGACAAATCATTCTTGTTCCGTTGTAAAGATCGTTCGATGGGTCCAGATTTCTTAAGAGCATCATCGGACAATTTCTTTTCAATATTAACTTATGTGGTGGGATATCAATTGACAACAATATATTTAGAAACATCTATTACTAAAATTAATTTGTATTTAGATTCCACACAAAAGATTAAAAAGGAGAATCAATTATGAAATGAAATTACCAAAAAAAAAAGAAAAGAAAAGAAAAAGGAACATGCCCCGATGAAGAACTAAAATTATTAAATTACCAAATATTGAATCGAATTGACAATAAAAAAAAGTGCAAGACTTTTTGTTGTTTGCATTGAAACTCCATAAAAAAGTGCAAGATATATATAGTTGTGCATGAGACAATGCATATTCAAAAAATGTATATTCCAACAGCTGGTATTGTATATCGTTGAGCCTTGTTAATGGTAATTGCAAGCATAGATGTATTGAAAATTGTTCTCTTGAATTTGAATGAATATCCTTCATCATTTACTTGAGCTAGTGGGATGCGAAAAGGGAAAACTTATGTTCCAGCATGTTATCCAAAGGTTATTTTTGAATGGATAATATAACTTTTGGAGTCACGACAAATCATTCTTGTTTCGTCGTAAAGATCGTTGGATGGGTCCAGATTTCATAAGAGCATCATCGGACAATTTCTTTTCAATATTAACTTATGTGGTGGGATATCAATTGACAATATATA